AAACTTGTTCAGAAACATGATTTAAAAATAATATTTCCTTTTGTTGAATTCTCTTCTCAGCATCTTTGTCAAGAAAATGAGAAACAGTCACAAGATTCATTAAAATTATGCATTAAATTATGAAACAATCAACCACTTAGCAATATTATTACTGCAAACAGTATATAAAAAATAATTTTGTAGCTCTTTGGCTTCATTAATTATTAAGAAATTCATACACCATGTCATATTTTGAACTTCCCTAAGCCTACTTCACAGGTTCTTTATCCTTATCTTATACAATATCTATAGTTCAGTTTACATAATCCTCACTTCTGTGATACTACAATGACAGTAAACCATACCTCTGTCAAGCTAACTTTAAAAATGACAGGTAACTACATCAATAATGATTAACTCTTAGCATTTACTTTCTAGAATCACAAGTATTGATCTAAATTCAATATTGCCTTTTGTGTTTGATCTTGCTGACAAAATAAGGAATTCTCATTGTCAGCTAATCCATTTTTACAAAGTCAATTTTAAGCCTTGTAATATATTAAGAGTACTTTTGCTCTATGAATTCATATCTTTGGTGCGAAAGATAGCAAACATTTTGTGGCTTGTTCATGATTTTCCATTTATAACTATACATAGTGGCAGTCATATGATGACCCATACTATCTCAACCAGTATGATATATAACTTTGAGTAGGACTTTTTTTAACAATTGTAATAGTATGCTGACTACTTTTCTCCTTTGCATGTTTATACTTTGTTTATTTCCAGTTGTTGACAACCTTGGCAATCAACATCCTCTATGCAACAGTAGGCAGTATCTTTTTTTTATTAGGTCAAACATCAGAGAATTATTGTATAGAATATAATTTTTTCACATTACTCATGATCACAGGCTTAAGGCACAGTCACATGAGTGTTTTTTTTGGCAACCAGTCTGTGAAATGATAGGCCATTAGAAGCTATCCAACTATCACATATGCAGTCAAATTTGGCATCAAATATGGCCCTGGTAGCTCAACAATAACTAAAACGAAGTCGAAGTATGTGAGTTTGTTCCTCGTTGCAGAGAAGAAATACTAAAGGTGTGTATCATAAGCTGCAGCAAGAACTTTGTTTGGAGGATAGATATAGGCAAATGCCTTTGAGGAACTTGGAAGACATTTGGATGTGAACAATGATGAAATCACAGCTACCATCCAATGAATTTCTGCATAAAAATAATAAGCATACTTAAAAATTTGAGGATACAGAATGGTATATACACTTAAAAATCACATCAATTGAAATATAAATGTTCATTACTATCTGTGCAGCTGAGTATTCTTTTCTAAGCACAACATTCTAACTTCCGCTCATTAAGAAACAGTAAAGATTTCAAGAGTACAGAAAGTGAAGAGAACTTTTATTACCATCACAACAAATCACAGCTACCATCCAATGAATTTCTGCATAAAAATAATAAGCATACTTAAAAATTTGAGGATACAGAATGGTATATACACTTAAAAATCACATCACTTGAAATATAAATGTTCATTACTATCTGTGCAGCTGAGTATTCTTTTCTAAGCACAACATTCTAACTTCCGCTCATTAAGAAACAGTAAAGATTTCAAGAGTACAGAAAGTGAAGAGAACTTTTATTACCATAGACAGCCTACTTACCATGGAAAAAAAATATTTATTGTTATGTATGATTCTGGAAATGTAACATGTATCACAGTCACTATTGGAGGGGAGGATGTGGATTGTAAAGCCTATATCACTGGAAAACAATGAACTACAGCCACTACTCCTCATTTAACCCAATGCCACCAGGGAAAATGCTGTGCTCATTTTTTATTTTTTTGTGAAATGTCTCTGCACACAGATGGCTCGGCTAGTGCTTAGCCACAAAAGAGTCAATTAGTAGACCTTTAGTAGGCCAGAAAAATATATCTTTTACTAATGCTATGAATATTGATTATTATAGACATTATATTTACTATAACGTTAATCAGATTGGTAACAGCAAAATAAGATAGCGTAAAATATTTTCGTAAATCAAGGAAATCTATAAATGGGCAGTACTTGCAATTGACTCATTGGTATCTTTGTACAAGTACAGCTATCTATGCGTAAAAACAATTAATAAAGTAAACACACAGTGGGCATGGAATGTATGTACATGCCATGCCTATCAGCATTGGGTTATATGTCCTTACAATGTTTGTCACTTTTTATAATTACTATTTATTTTTTCTCTGCAGTAAAATGAATTTTCAAAATCAGCTCCAGCCATCACCAAAAAATTACACTTCAACTCATTTTACAACTTTTCCTTAAGTCAGTAGTCATGAATGACAATACTCCAAAAATCTAATTCTTTGTCATCTTAATCTCATTCTTGAAACGTCAACCATATCTCTAAAACATACTACACCATTTTTCACATCATCATTATTATGTATCGCAACTGCCTAAATTATAATTCTACTGATAAACCGTAAATCATACTTACCGACAGCACATGGATCTCATTTAACTGTGGGTCTATTGTTGCTTTCTGAGTGAATCCGGCAGCAGGTACAGAGGCAGAATCTTTTCCAGATCCATCACTAATATAGGTTACAGTGTCAGAGTCTATGTTGTAGGTAAAGAAATCTGTCAGGTACTCCTTGTTCCTCTGACCTGCTAGTATGAATAGCTGCCGGGTCCCCTGGAAAGAGAAAGCAACGTAAAGGCATCTGAACTTTCTTTGGTAAGATAATCTTGGGAAGTTTCATCATTGCTCATCATCAGTATTCTTAACGGACATGGACACACACACAGACACAGAAACGGACACGAAAACACATACAGACACGGACACACACACACATGCACGCACACACACGCAGGTACACACGTACGCACAAAAACACACACACACACACACACACACACACACATACACACACACACACTCACACACAAATAAAAATAAAGAAGTCAACTTACACTATGGAAGAGCATAGAGTGTCCAATTCTAGATTTAATATCTTGAGGTCCTGTGCCATTCCCTGCACAGTCATCATCTCTTAGCTTAGTCCATGTATTAGTTGCTACATGGTATGAATAGAGACCGGAGAATATTGCTTCGCTAGGAGTGTAGGTATTGTTGCGTCGTTCATCCAGCCCCAAACTAGAAAGAAATTTTGTCATTATACATGTTCCACATCAGCTTTTATACTTTCCCTTGCCAAAATAAATTGTTTATTCAGAAAAGCTAAAATCCTATCAGTAAATATAGATAAAGAGAACACAAATGGGAAATTCAGAGAAAAATGTCATAAGAAATGAATGTAAAATATTTTCCTTCCTTAAACCACTTACATTAACTTACAATATATAGTCTAAACATTTTCACAGAAGCAAAAAAGAAAAAGGGATTCTTGGAACGAATGAAGGAAATATGATCTTGCCTCACAAAAGAACACATGGTCCGTAATAGCAAAGCAGATGTATCAACTGAGAGAGAAGCAAAATGTCAACTCCTTAAGGCCAATACAGAATCAGATATTTTCCCCATAAGCATTACTTCGTCAATCATCCGTCTACAGTGAAAACAAACAACCACATAACCCTCAAGCTCTGCATGCACGAAAATGCTTATATGCTTATTTTTTGTATCAAATTTGGATGTGTTACATAAGATAGTGTCTCACATTGTCTTCCTTGAGTTTTTGATTTTCAAATTAATCAGCATGCAATACTATATTTGCAATCATATAATGAATGTCTGAAGAAAATTACCATAATTGCTAGCCTATAATAAACACTTATAATCATGCCATGCCATTGCATCCAAGGCACCTCTACAACCAATGGACTGCCAAGTGCCTGTTGGCTTATAGCTGTATTTACCCAACACTAACATTCAGGTTTTTAAGACTACAAATGCAGTAATATAACACAATGTGTGTGCATGCACGCTCCATAAGTATAAGGAGACAAAGTATCTTCAAATTTTAAAGTAATTTAAGGTGTACCAAAAGAAATTAGTCTGGATTTAACATTATCCAATCTTCACTATTCTGCTGCAAAGATGAATACAGCTGCCAATTTCACACTTAAAATATGTAATTTTAGTATATGGATAATGTTACACACTGATATTACCAGAGCCTTGTCAATATTCACTGTCAACTGCGATTTGGCTTTGTCATATTTTCTTACACAATGACATGTTCAAAAGCACCTCATCTCTAAGGAGTTAACTATTAAACATACCTAATTTCATTTGTTTACCATATTTTGTCTTCAATGGACAAAAATGATAAAGACACTTTAAATACTCAAATTCTCATTCTTAACATCAACAGACTATATAGCAATTATGAGTTGATTATATTTTTTGTCTAGGTGTCTGGGAAAAGCTTAATAAATGGTATGATGAAATGCACTAAAGATCATCAAAGAGTTCCATTATATGATGGGTGTTTTATAGACTGGCAAAATTGGTAATACATAGAACTGTGCATGCTGAAAAAAAAGCAGCTTTTAGGCTTTTTTTTTTTTATTAAAAGACTATATGTAAAAAACTAAATACATGCATTATTTTGCTTTTATCTATCTCTACAATAGGACTAATAGCATATCAAATATATAATAGTAAAGCGATATATACAAAGCCAAAAACAGAAGAAATTCTTTGCCAATCAGCTATAGGCAAGGATATCAGGGACGACAAAACCAGAGGGGAAATTTTACATACAGAAAGAACAAGTTAGAAAAATCTGGAATGAGGCAACATCTATATACCCCCCAACGCACCCCTCCCATCGTGAGGGGGTGAGCACTCGGCCTCCAAAGACGTAAATTATTCGATTCTCTACATCCATCACCATCTGATGGTCAAATATTAGCCGGGGGCCTCCAAGAGCAGCTGTGTCTTCTGTGATTTGTGTCCATTTGTTGTTTTCAATGTCATACATATAGAAGTCACTCTGGAAAAAGAGAAAATGTAGATAATGTCATTGCAATCATCATATCAAACCTATAACAAACTGCAGCTTGAAAATAATGTACTCTATTCAATCTGCATTTAATCATTTAGTATGTAATTCTTTCTACAAAAAAATATATGATAATATTACTTAACATTACAGAACTTGGAAGGTGAGAAGCCCAATGACATCCAAATTTTCTTATTTCACATCTTAGAGTTTGAAGATATCAATGTCATAAAAGATTTTTTTCTCATGAATACATCTTGAATGGTCGCGGAGTAGCCGAGCTACAAGTTCAGAATGATACAGGTACATCAGACCTCTATCTCTGTTCTCTTTGTATACATGATTGTACTGATGTGTTAGGATAATAAAGTAAGGAAAAAGGGGAAAGAAAGAAGAGAGAGCAAGTGTGGGACTGAGCAATCCCATCAAAAACCAAGAGAAGTGAGAAAAGGACTGAGGCAAACAAGGAGGACTGACAATAACCCTCACTGACATCCCACAAGTTTTTTGTATCGCTGACTAGATCTAGCTTCTGTGTACTCTGCACTAAGTATTACAGCAAGCTAAATCTGGCCCTGTTTGTCTTTTAGAGATAATATCAAGACACTGCAATTCTTCAGCCTCACCTTTAGGCCCAGTAGCAAAAAGTATCAAATTTTCATCTTTCACCAAGATCAGTTTTGATTTTTTGTCTTTGAACACTAAAATATTTTTGTCTCATTCTAGTGAATCCCATGTAGTGAAGTGTCAAAGCTGAAAGAAGTTTCTACTGCTTTGGAAAATGGAGAGAGAAAGTGAGAACAAGAAATAGTGAATGAACCAAGCAATAAATCATGTATATACCTATATGCACAGATGGCAAAAAGTTACATGTAAACCACATGATGATGATGTGAAATCTAGGGATACTGGGAAGTGGGGAAGAAGTGTATAAACAAGCAAAACTGTTAGAATGTTCTCCTATGATTCCTTAGGGCAAGCAAGATATATAGAGGGATGATGGAAAAAACATCCTAAACAGTACCAGAATTACTTCCTCACACTTCTTATCTTCTATCCACGGCAAAAAAAAAAAGGAGAAAGGATTACAGGCCATTTCTTTTGGAGGCGCTATGCTCAACTGAACCAACTTAGACTGGTTCAACTGATTCAAATTCAACTGGTTCAACTTTAAAATACACTCAGCTGAACACTGTTGGATTTTACTGGTTGGTAATAACAATAAGTTTTGTATATACCTCCCTTAAGATCAAGGAAAAGGATAAAAATCTGTGTGATTAACATGAACCAGACGCATCACTTACTTTTAAGTTTTCTGGAACTCGAAGAGCTGAGTCAAGATATCTTCCTAAGGTGAAAATCTGCCTACGTTCAGGATCCAAACACATCTTGTGACAGGAACGTGCACTTGGCCCTCCCTATTTAAAAGAAATCCGAGATAAATATCCTTTTACATGTCTGAACTTTCTTTTCCTTTTTTTTCAACTAAGGAAAAAAAAAGGGTTTGAACATTTTAGTACCAAAACATACCTACAATGGTGTTTAACATTTTCACTTACCTTTGCATGAGTATCACGTGATATACAAGTCCATTCTTGTGACAACACTTGGTAGGACCACAAGTCACTCAAATCCTGGTTGCCATCCCACCCTCCAAACAAGTATATAGTCTACAAAAACAAAAACCAAAAAAATAATCAACAGATTTATACACATTTCTTCTTCCTTATCAATTTTTTAATACAATATTATCCACACAATTCTAAAGGGAAAGAAAATGAATAAGTCTTTGTAACTAACGATTACAATGACACATTTACCTGAGTATTTGTGTCAATACACATTTGGTGACCGCCTCTCATGCCAGGCTGCTGACGACTGCCAGTTGGGGATGGGATGATGGGTGTCCACTGTGGCTTATATTCTTGTTGGCTGATGTATTGTTGAAATAATCCATCTAGCAAAGGAAATAAGGACATATTTTAGATATTAACCATTCCAGCTAACAGACCACAATGGAAAAAAACAATCTAAATACCACAAAATTCATCTTTAACCTCTACATGCTGGAGCGTGATTTTACCTCGTGCTGCCTCGCTTATGAGTTTCTCACTGCCGTCAAAATCTCCTTGTTCCACTAAGAGTTTGTGAAGCTTGGTTAGTCTAGGATCTTCTAAAGTGACACGTGTCCTCTTCTCCAGAGATTCAAATGCTTCTGTGTAATTATGCTGGCGGAAATGTTTCAGACACAGGCGGATGGCTTCTCTTTCCCGATACTGCATTCAAAAGTAAAAAATATAATTATATGAGCCATGAAACTTCAATTCATAAATATTTTTAAAAATGCATATATATATACACCACACATTCAAATAAGTACTGTTAAAGGAGCTAAAAGCTTAATAATAACAACCTCACTCAGAAAAGAGAGAAAGCAAAGCAACATAAAAAAAATAAATAAATAAATAAAGATAAACATGACTCAATCAAAACCTCTCTTCATTAAAAAAGATTGCCAGTTAGCTTACAGTTGTATACCAGTTGATACATTTCTGCACAATGTTCCAGTCCTCACAGCCTCCAAGACTAACATGCCAAATACTAAAGTTGAAGGTTGATCCCCATGACTGAAAAAAGAAGGAAGTTTGTGAAATAAACTACTTATGATAATAGGATAACAGGGTATGTTTCCTTATGTTATCTAGTTATTAGTGTTTACCTTTTTTTTTTTTTTGAAAGCAAGAGCAGGGACATGTCTGAAAGTTTCATACTTGTTAAGCCCCACTTCCATGTTTCATTTACTTTCCATTTTAATAACAGAAAGCTCAGCTCAGAAATGTTACAAAGAAAGAAAATTAGTTTAATGATAGAGCATGAAGTTTCCTCACTGACACCATATCTCTCAACCAAGCAAAAACAGGTGTCCCTACTACTATAAAAGCATTTGAATTTTTATAACACAGATTTATTCCCTCTGTAATCTGACAAATAAATGGCTTACCTGTAAAGGAACTATCTTTACATAGCGGACTGGAAACTGATGTCCAGACACTGTGTGCTTTAACAGAAAAGTCTCAGGGACAGTGTCATTTTTCAATCCACTGGAAAAGAAGACAGCTTAACAATAATCAGAATTTTCAAAAAGGAAATCATTTATACAAAAATGTTCAAATAGCATACCATGCTATGCACAATTCTACACTGTACATAGTGTTAACCAGTGTTAAAGAAAAAAATATTCCCCCTGTCAACCATATGGGTTTTCACCAATATTTAGCAGGAGCCCAAATTTTTCAATCACCTTTCTAACAGGAGCACCATGTTGTCATCTGATAAACCTCCATAGACCCTAAATTTTTTGATGTTGCAGACGTGAACTTTTTCATACTTCCCAAAAGTTATAGTTTTTAACACTGCTGGACGTTCTAGTTTTAATATCAGGAACTGAAATGATACACAAAATGAAGTTAGAATTTACGTAACTTAACTATGAACAACTAGACTTATAATCAATAATACATAATGACATTAATATATCAAGATTATACATTTATACTGTCTTGCAAGTATATATGTGTACATACATATAAAGTCATACATATACATGTATATATACATATATGTATATATATGTTTATATACATACACATATATATATAATAATATATATTACATATATGTAATATATAATACACAACACAACAAACACAGACACACACACAGGAACTACAGAAATAAATAATGACGATTTCATCATAAAAAGTCAGTCACTTTCCCCAGCCATGTCCCTTACCTGTGGTGGATTATTTGAGTCAGAAGACCATCGTGATGCCTGGTCATTTGGTTTGTCTTCCAGAATATTTCTGCAAAAGAGTTAACAATACTATAATAAATATATCAAGCTAGAAAAGTTTATAAAAAAGGGTATAATTGTAATTGTAACTGAAATAAAATTGATTGAGACCTAGAGTATATCACTATGTTTCTATGTTTTCCAGCAGTTCTATGTCAATATGCAACAATGGGGGTAAACAATGCATAGAATCAACAAACTCCTATGACAGTACCATTGCATAATAAAAATAAACATCTATATATAAATATTAACCAATCATATATCATGTTACATTTCATTCAGCCAATCAAAACGCTATTATACCACTCTAGTTTTCAGTTCCCAAATGCTGGCCAAGTTTTTGTCTTGTGGGTCAATATTGTCTTGAAACTTTATGTGGCTCTTACTATGTTTACTAAACAGTACTGCTAGAGCCTTCCAAAACTGCTGAAAACTACCTATCTCTTTTATACTTTTGTAAATAAAATTCTTAAGAACAGGACTCCATAACCTCACATATAACCACTTAGGCATTATGAGTCTGTATACTGGTGAAGTCAAGAGGTTTTGAGTCAAATGGGTAAATAAGGATACTCATCTGTATAGTCTAGTTGTCATTAAATACTAAAGGGATTCATATATGACAGCTGCTTAACCATCTGGTGGTCTTCATATGGATCATAATAAGTGTTCACTGCTAACTGCTCAAGAATCCCCTGATGTATGCTCTGTGACATGCTTCCAACCTCCTTTTCACTCACTCGTTTATTTTTTCCTAATATGTAATATTTTCTTTATTACTTGTTTTATGTTCTAACGCAACTACATAATAAACACTTATTTGTCACCAATATCGCTATAGAGCAATTAATCTGGATACGTAGGAAGCCACTGACAAAAAAGATATTATTGTACCACATGTCTTCACTTAACATCTAAACATGAAACTGATATTACCTCATAATATCATACATTTATTGCACAACAAAAGAATGCTCTAATGTCTTTTATTCTGCAATTATTTTTATAGCACAATTACTACTATATACAACTATGAATCTACATTTGGAAAAAAAAGACATAAGGAGAGGCTATAGCTACAATATGAGATTGAGTGTGAGCAGAGGGATAAGTGAAATATCTTTATACCACTTTTTACTCATCCAACTCTAATTCAAACTTTCCAGTCTTATAAGCTGGTATTAGCCCACTGGATCCAAGTGCCTTGCTCTGGCACTTGGACAAAAACACAGGCATTAGGCTTCTTTCAGTGGTGACTCTCTCTTGGATGTGTGGCTTGTAGGCCAAGACTACAAGAATACTCATGTGCTGTTTTGCCATTTTTCAAGATCTACCATGATGGTGATAAGATAAGTTTTTGTTGAGGATACACAATATTATCTCTCAAGGTAGTTTACACTTTGTACAATGACAGTAACAATAAGTAACTTTGTCACTTGTCTCATTTTAAAAGTATTTTAGTATTAGTAAATTTTCTGTGTCATGATTATTTCTTGTACTGCCAACTTTTTATCCAGTACAAGCATATCATCTTCAATTAGCCCTAGCTTAGTGCAACCATACCATAAATATTAACAAGCAATTACTATAGCTTAAATATATATCATTACTAATTGACTGACTGAGATATAGCCTTACTAGCTGTATTAAACCCAGGGAAGGGGGAAGGTTGTTTGATAAAATGTTTACAACAGGACTGCACCCATCAGAAACTAATTCTCCAACTCCTGCCAAAAATGTTGGGGGATCCCATTGGGATTAGGGGGGGGGGAGTTTTGATTATGGCAGGAGCATACGAACAAGTGAATGAACCTCATCAAAACGCACAAACTACCCAGTGGCGGACACATCTGGTGTGGGGGGGCACTTCCCAATAACTTTTAAAAAGAGTGAAAGTTTATTCCACATTCCCCTCATAAAGAGACATACTTCTTCTTTCTCTGCCGTATCAGAGTCTGATGCTGGCGACCATGTTTAATTTCATGGTTGTACAAGGGATACATACATACATTTTTTGCTCTGAAAAAGCCCTGTATGTTGGGGCGAAATATATATGGTATTTTTGTTGTTGACATCTTTTCACTACGTTGTGGTGTTCCTGTTCTGGCTTTGTCACAAGTCTCCTTACAAGGATCTGGCAAATAATTTTCGCCCCTCAAAAAAATTGCAGTCTGCCACTGAAACTCCCCGAGATTGCTGTATGAACCAAGAACCTTCCAAATCCGGGGGCTACACCCTCATTTTCTCCGTAAGGTTGGGAAAAAATTTGCAAACACAAGTAGCACTGTACACAAACTTCACCTTTGGAATGAGCAATGAGGACTGTGACAACAGAACTGTCAAATTTGCCGGGACAGGGTTGCGCATGTATGGAGGTAATATGTGTTTCTATCAGATCAGATTGTACATTTAAGGAAGGAACATTCAATAAATATGTATTTCAGTATAATTTCATGTAAAATAGAACTCAGAAAAACATTAATAGTACAGTGCATTTCTAGGAGATTAACAATGATTGGCCATGACGTCATGAGCTACATGCACCGTGACAGTTTATAGTGGCATACGCACAGCTAGGTTGTTTGCTGTGAGGTGATGGAAGTTTGAGGCATATCTCTCTGTGATATTCACAAAACTGAATTTTTGTTGGTTTACTCAAATAGGTTGGCTTCTGATGATTAATTTTGATATCAATGAATGTAGTTTTTCCTTGCCTACAATGCTCTACTCTTCAACTTTCTACAAGTTGGTGCGGTATTTCTGCATACTTTAACGAGCCGCTTATATATCCAAATTGAATGCGTTATATATTCAGGATTTACTGGGCCTTCGACAACACAAGAAAAAGTTGTTGTTTTTTCTCTGTAGTCAAACTTGCACCATAATGGTAAGGATATTGTGATAAATAACATTTAAATTATTATTCACAGAAAAAATTCTATTGCAAAAATGATTTAGATATAAATAAAACAATAGAAAATTATCATCATATTGATTAATTTAACTGAAAATAAATTCAATTCTCTCTTATTAATGTGACAGTACAAGTTCCATCTGCATTCACTAGGTATGGCACAATATTTTTTTCTCTTTTGGTTACAATCACAGCTAGAAATCAATGGCACTTTATATTTATTCTCCAGAAATTCTGTTTTTTTTCCACATGTGTCTGTATGCTATACAGTAAACAGCAAATCAACTTAATATAAACATGTTCCACAGGTAATTCTGCAAGAAAGCCCAATCCCACCTAAAGAATAGAAAAGAAGAGCAATAAAGAAAAAAAAGTGGATGACAAGAGATGGGCTTAATTACTATATCATATCTGCATACTTTAGTGCCTCCAATTTTATTGATTCACTAGGAAACTGTGTAAGTTCTTGTAAAAAAAAAAATATGCAATGCCATCATCCTAAATACTGAATTGCTACATGACAGTTTGATTCCCAATATTTTCTTCTGTCAATTTATCAATTTGTCAATTATCTCTCTCAGATAAGCTCCTGTCACTGCATATCATGACCAACGGGCTTATCATCTACTAATAATGATAAATCCTGTTACAAAAGCATCACAAAGTACTTTAAAAAAACGAGATGATAAAGAAAAATACCCAAATACGAAAAAGGCTGAATAAAAAACACGAATCAAACTACGGTGCCGAGCTGTGAAATTTCACTTTTGCGTTTTATCTTATTTCTTTATTTTATTTAATTTAAATTTTTTAACTTTACTTTATTTTATTTTTTATTTCACTTTTGCGTATTATTTCACTTTATATTTCACTTTTGTTTTATTTCACTTTTGAAATTTCACTTTTGCATTTTATCCCGAGGAATTATATCACGCTTGGCTTCCTTCAGCTCCATCGATAACCCTTTTTTTCCCTACAATTCCCTCTCCTTTCCCTTAGCTCTGAGGGGAAATCACCACCTCCCTCGGCCCGAAAGACACACCGAAATTGCAACCGAAAGAACAGCGAAATTGCAATCGAAAGAACACCGAAATTGCAACCGAAAGAACATCGAAATTGCAACCGAAAGAACAGCGAAATTGCAATCGAAAGAACACCGAAATTGCAACCGAAAGACAATCGAAATTGCAACCGAAAGAACACCGAAATTGCAACCGAAAGAATCGCCGAAATTGCAACCGAAAGACACACCTATATTGCAACCGAAAGAACACCGATATTGCAACCAAAAGACACACCGAAATTGCAACCCGATTGACCCCAAAAAACGGAAAACTTCAACCTCCCTAACGCAAACCTCTCCCCCCTCTTAAAACCCCCTTTCCCTCTTAAAACCCTCAAATCCATCTTAAAACACGAAGGGCAAGAGTCCCACCGTCCCTCTGAACACTTACTCCGGGGCGTAATTGGCCGAGAAGGTGGAATATTTGTGAATGGAGTACTTGAGGCTGGCGGTGTCGGGAGGAGCCTCGGCCATTGTTGTTGTGGTGGCGATCAGCTGGTCCGGCAGGGGGGGAGTAGTGGGGGAAGGGGGTGAAGGGGGGGATACGGGGGAGGGAGGCGGGAAGTTTGAATAGCGGGCGCGGGGGTATTTTATTTGATTTATTATTTTATTATTGGTTTATTGTTGGTAGCCTTTTTTTTTTCTTTGCGAGGGTTGAGGTCTTGCTTTTTTTTTTATTTTTTGTTCCGTCATGGTATCGCGGGGGGGGGGGGGTGGCGGGGGGGAGGCGGTAAGTTTGAATGGCCGGCGCGGGGGATGCATCGGAGTTTGAGTTATTGGTTTATTTTTATTATTATTGGTTTATTATTATTATCATTATTGTTTATTTTTTATTATTATTGGTTTATTATTATTATTATTGGTTTAATATTATTATTATTGGTTTATTTTGATTGTTATTGGTTTATTTTTATTATTATTGGTTTATTTTTATTATTATTGGTTTATTATTATGGGTTTATTTTTATTTTATTTTTATTATTGTTTTTTTTTCTTTGCGAGGGTTGAGGTCTTACTTTTTTTTTCTTTTTTGTCTGTTTGGTCATAGCGTCGCGGGCGGGGGGGGGGGCGGGAAGTTTGAATGGCGGGCGCGCGGGGGATGCATCGGGGTTTGAGTTATTGGTTTAGTGATGGTAGCCATTTTTTTTCTTCTTTGCGAGGGTTTAGGTCTTGCTTTCTTTTTCTTTTTTTATCTGTTTGGTCTCATCGTAGGAGATTTATTGTGGCGGGATCTGTTTCTTTTTTGTATTCTTGGTAGGGATTGGGGTGTAGTATTTCTGAGTATTGTCGGAGTTCTTGTAAAGATTGTCTTTAATTCCTTTCAGATTAAATGGATCTCTCCTAATCAAGGAAGGTTTGCATTTTTTTTCATATAACTAATTCTTTTCAATACTGAAGGGGTATGGGTGGATGGTTTTGGTATACAAAATACTGCCAGAGATTGTGGAATTTCGTTCGGGTTAACGCTTCTATATTTTCCCTAACCATAAGACATTTACTCGTCTTGATTGTTGCGGGAGTTACTTAATAACCTTAAGAGGGGCGTGAGAGGTATTTCAGAAGGTTGGTTTCAGTCCATCTAGATTTGCGAAGTCTAGCTGCAATGGCGGGAAATTTGAATGCGTTGGGACTCCTGCTCGGGCCTTTTCGTGACGTTCTCTAATCATTGAAGGTTTATAAGGACTTTTTGTGACGAGAACTAATAAGAGGAGAGAGCATAGGTCAAACATTATTATTTTAAAGAAATCTTAACCCTTAATCTTGGTGAGGTAATATGAGAGATTTTTCTTTCATGTGAGATCGAGTGATTATATTGTAAATTTATTCGAATTCTATGTTTCTTGTCTGGCATTATAGATATATTAGCATTCGAACATATATGATCGTTGGAATAAACCTATTCTTTATGATCGTAGGGGTAGGAGACGATTTTTTGGTGTGTATGTTAAAAAAAGACCTCGGATCTTTGAAGGAAAATTATCCAGGTATTCTCTGAATGACTTTGAACAAGCTTATTCCATGTTCATGCCTAATTCAGTATGTAATGGATTATTGAAAAGGCAATGTCATTAAGTCATCCCATAAACGTTGCAGTTGTTTGCCATTTCTCTATATCTTACCCAGTGTTAATTGATTTATTAATTCTACTGCAGAGTTATTGATATTTACGCAGAAGCATTCACTGACAATC